TTTGCTGTGTCTCTCTGCAGGTGGTCAAGGCCATCAACCGGGTGCTGCTCTGCAGGGTGGTCCGCCTCGCCAACCCGGATGCCATCATCTAGGGGTTCAGCGCCCTCAGCTTCCCCAACTGCCTGGGGGCCATCGACGGGACGCACATCCCCATCCGTGCCCCGGAAAACCAGGCCTCCCCGTATGTCAACCTCAAGGGGTACTTCTCCGTGCTCCTGCAGGCCATGTGTGACCACCGGGGCCAGTTCACAGACATTAATGTGGGCTGGTCCGGCAAGGCACACGACGCATGGGTGTACCGGAACTGCTCCGTGTGCCAGAGGCTGCAGGCCGGGACCTTCTTCCCTGACTGCTTCATCAGGGTTGGGGACGTGAACATGCTCGTGTGCCTGGTGGGGGATGCGGCCTATCCCCTACAGCCCTGGCTCATGAAGCCGTACCCGGGGCACCTCAACCCCTCCCACCAGGCCTTCATTTCCAGGCTCACCAGGGCCCGCATCATGGTGGAGGGGGCCTTCGGACGATTGAAAGCATGATTTAGGTGCCTCCTCACCCGCCTCGACCTTGCCGAACACAATATCCCTCCCGTGGTGGCAGCATGTTGTGTGCTGCACAATTTGTGCGAGAGATAGGGGGAGGCTTTCCTGCCAGTCTGGATGGCTGAGGCTGAGCGCATGGATGGCCACTACGCTCAGCCCTGCACCACCGCTGTCCAGGAAACCCAGCGGAGGGCCGTCTGGATCCGGGAAGCTCTGCGGGAGAGCTTCCAGGAGGAGGACTGAACTGGGGCCTTCTTCCACCCTTTCCCTCCCTAGCCGCCCTTCCTAATGTCAAATAAAGACACTTGTTTTAACACCAAAAATCTCTTTATTTTACATAACTGGGGTGGCGGGAGGGGGGAAGAAGGGTGGAAGAGGGGAGGGGAAACCTGGCAGGAGGGAGCTAGATGGGGGAGGAAGGGAAGGGAAAGCCGCAGGTCCTTAATTTTGCAGTAGACCTGCTCCCGGGTCCGCATGTGGCCTCTGGCGGAAAGGCTGTCAGCCATGTGGCTGTAGACGGCCGCGTTCCTGTGGCCAGTGTGGAGATCGTGGACGTTGGAGGCTTCTCCCCCAAACCTGGATGAGGTCCACGATCTCCGCACTAGACCAGGCAGGCGCCCGCCTCTTGTGGCCCTGGCCAGGTTCCTGTGAGCTGCCAACCTGGCTGGCTCATGCCGTGCCAGGTGCAGGGTCTGCTGGCTGGGTGCTGGCAGGCTTGTACCTGGTACGGGCACCATAGCCAGACCGTGCCCCGTTAATGGCTCCGGGGCCGGGAGGGGGGCAGACAAGTTTCCCCGGCTTGGCCCAGAGTGGCCACCAGGGCAAGCTGGGAAGGGCTAGCCTCCAACTAGTTCAAATTAAGTGGCTACACAACCCTTAATTCAAACCACTTAATTCAAACTAGGCGTTAGTCCTCGTAGAATGAGGTTTACCTAGTTCGAATTAAGCGCTCCGCTAGTTCCAATTAAGTTCGAACTAGCGGTTTGCATGTATAGCGCCTATGAAAGTTAAAATTCAAACTAACAGCTGTTAGTTCGAATTAACTTTGTAGTGTAGACATACCCAGACTGACAAAAGCTCCTGCTGACAATTTATCAATAATTCTCTGTAACTTTGTAACTGTTCCAGCTGCATCACCTGTTAAACTTCGCAACTTCTTGTGAGCTTTGTTAAACCTCGCGACTGTGCAACTCTCAGCCTCTTTGCTTTGTAAGTTCAGAATCTTACGGTCAACTGAGTGATTGTTGAAGCTCCCACCCTGGCAACTTCTTGCAACTTTCCTTCACTTGCCCTAAGCAGCAGTCTCCCCTGAGCTAGGAATGTGTGTGAGTGAGTGGAGACTCTTATCGCTGTGTCTACATTAGCATGATTTTGCGCAAAAGCAGCCACTTTTGCGCAAAATCTTGCCACCTGTCTACACTGGCCGCAAGGAGGCACGCGACCTTCGCTGAAAATAGCTTTAAAGGCCTTGGCTACCTCCTTGCCCGTCTTGTCCTTTAGGCCTAAGGCCCAGGCATATTTTGATAAAATGTCTATCACTGTTAAAATATACTTAAAACCGCTGTTGCGTTTGGAGAACCGGTGCATATCCACCAAATCTGCTTGCCATTGTGCATCCACGTCTGAGACAATGGTCTTGTCTCTTTTAAAATGTATTCGAGCAGGCTTGTGCAAAGAGTAAGCGTCTTGGTCCGAAAGCCATGATGTTACCTGTCTTCTGTTCAAAGTTTTACTGTGCTTTTTGACTGCTTGAAACAGAGGGTTCACCCCACCAAAGCTGCCAGCTTCCCTGGGGGTGTAATGTATTTTCTCTAACAGAGCAATCTGCGTAGACATGACTGTTATTTGTGTTAGTAAAAGATGCTGTAAGTATGGAAGGAACACATTCACACCAACACATTTCATACAAGTTTTATTAAGCATCTGGATTAACACACCCTTTTACAGCCATCTGCAAATGGGCACCATGACACCCCCACCACTATCGCTATTAGGGAGTCCGAGTTAATTCATTCTTCCACGTTTGTTCTCGAGATCCATGTGTCAGATATGACCAAAAACAGCTGGCACAGGATAGATTTACTCCCACAG